GTGACCTATATAAGCCTTGTAATGTCCAGACAGTAGCCAATTTGTGTGCTTGCTCCAACGGTTCCCCAACAAAGTGTTTTTATTCTCTTAATTTGAAGGTTTTGCATGCTTCTGTCTATCAGAGCAATATTGTTGTATCATTATCTAAAGCAACAACACTTTAAATGTTTAGGGATAGGACAATTCTTAACCATGCTCTTTTACAGGGTGCTGAAGGATATACCATTTGCCTTTCCTCTTCAACAACAGTGCAGTACCTTCAACTCGGCCTCTTAAATTGAAATGTTTCTTGTATCCACTTAATGGCCACGCGTTGCACCCATGCAGCTCTTTGAAGGGTCGCTGGGAATATATTTCCTAAAGCATGTTCACTAGTTATGTCTAGACTTCCAAGGCCGGTTTGAATCTGATGAATGGCTGTGAAAAACTTCTTAGTGCTGACCATTTTTTTTTAGGCTACGGTTTAGGAGGACAGGACGGTACATGCACACGAAAAAGGTATCCGAAAGATTATACATACATTCTTCCTTCTGATGCAAGTAAGGAGTGGAGAGGAAAGTACTCTACAAACAAAATATTAGCACAAGTAGACTGGGCCTTCCGTTCTCCTTGATCCCAGTGTCCCCGCCACATATTGACCAGAGAGAGAGCATACGACTTTCTGCTTTTCCTTTGCAACTAGGATTCCTGTTCGCCCCTAACACAAGGTGCTGGTCACCCATGATCCTCAGAGGAAGCGCATCAGTGAAACTTTGAAACGCAAGCAGTTGAGAAATACCATATTGATGGATTACAAAGAGAAACAAAGATGAAACGAAGATGAATTATGGATAATATACATGGTCTCTAAATTGGTATATGTATGTATTATGGCTGCGTAACAAGGATAGATAGGGGAGACTTGACTACGGTTTTTAAACTTGTATGTTAACAATTTTATCTAATATTTGTAGGTTTAACTTTAATCAAAGTAATTTTTTTTCACTATCAACTTGTGCATCGGTTATGCGCCTCTTTAAACCCCATATTCTATTTGGTGTGTTAATAGGCTCGGGTTTAGGTTTTCTGCTTGTGACCACAACAAGTCTACAGTGGGTTGATTTGGGATAACTCTCCAACATTTCAAGCAAAGTTCTCAGATCCCCAGATTACTGGCAAAGGGCAGTGAAGTGGACAGGTACCATAACAGCAATGCTAGAGGGAACAACTGAGATACTGAGCAGATTAGCTGTGCTCCCTGTTTTTCTCATAGTTTAACATATGTTTTTGACTCAAATGTAACTGTAAAATTAGTAGTGTCAAAAAAGCATTTCTGAATCAATCTGTACAAAATGTATCTGTTTAAATAAAGTTCCCTCTTTTCTGTAATGTAAAATTATATTAGTTGTCACATGTAAGTACCCATTCATGTGGCTTTTCAGTTCCTTGTTCACAAAGGACCTATCCATCCAGCTTAATATATACACTATTGTTTAGGGCTTACTGCACAGCTACAGTCTGTGAACCAAAGCACAAAGCTTACCTCTGCATTGCAGCGGAGAACATTGCTGATTAATCCGACTTTTCACATGACTTTGTTTTTCAGCAATATGAGTGTACCTTTAGCATACTAATGCACTTTCCAGTGTATAGGAAAGTATACTTTAATGTGTTTTAAAGTATACAACATAAAATGACATATGCAGAAAGGTGTCACAGAATCGTGCTACTGCATTATCAGTGTGCTGCCCCTAACATCTAACAAAGATGATGACTCTCAATGAAAACGTGTATTGTCCATTGGTTATGAATAGTCAATTAAAAGTCATAGAGCTCATAGAGCTCATATGTGACCCCTGAAATCCTTAGTTCTTCTGCTAGCTGTATGTAAAATACATTTAATTAAAGAAATACAGGGAAAATGAACATAAGTGGTGGGTGGCAAATATACAAGATCCATCCCTTTTTAATGCATGGCTTGTGTTTTTGGTTCCACATATGATTGCAGATGTAACTGCTGACAGCAGCATGCTTTATTATTGTCCATAAATAATTTCCTGCACATTGACTTCTAAAGTCGCCTTAAATAAAACTGTAGCTATAAGAAATGTTTGCTCATCATATGGAAAGGTTAATTATGATTTATACCTAGAGTGCATTTAGGCAGAGTATTGATTGTACTCGAGTCATGCCTTTTTATTATAACTTCTGCCTTTACAGCAATAATCCCATGTTCATACTGCAATAGAAAAAAAGACAGAGCTGCTTAATTCTTATAGGAGAGGTTTTATTGTATATATTATTTCCTTATAACTGTGCTGCTTTCCAGGGGAGGCTTGCCATTCACTCTTTAAAATCAGACACACAAATTAGAAGCTATTGATTATTTAGGAAAATATTTATTTCCAGCCTTTGGTACACCTAGATGTGGCTTAAATGTGCTTTTAGTCAGTGTACCTGCTGATCTGTCATGTGGTAAAAACTGTACAGACTGACCATAATATTTATTACAATGGAGTCTTCTATAGAAATGCAGAAGCATAAAACATTGCTACTCCTAGGTTCCAAACAAATTATATGTCCTGGACTGAGAGTGAGTTTGGATGATATCGGTCTTTATAAACCTTGTTGTGATATGTCATCCATGTGGTTGTAGAACCGCTTATTTGTGTCATCGTGGTCCCCTCTGTGTAACACATTTTATTATTCATGTGTGACTAATTAAATCATTTTGTAATCTCTTAAACCCACCATGGGTAGGTTAACTCAATTGGAAACTAAGAGCTCTCCTTGTTTTCTAAGTGCTCTCTGATGCTGGGTTGTGTTGTGACGTCTTTTCTAATGCATGTGACCTGTGGTGTATAGTAGTAGCGGAGTGTTGTCATGTTAGCTATTGTGTCAGAAAGATTGGGCTTTAAAGGATACCTTTTATTGGCTAATGTAGGGTTTTAAACATGTAAGCCTTTAAAACATGTTGGATTTCTTAATCAGGCATTATACAAGTGGTGTACAGTAGTAGTATTATTATTATAATAATACAGGATTTGTATAGCGCCAAATTCACAACGCATTGACGGATTCACAAACCTTTACCCTATTGCCATTACAATACAAATGAATACAAGAAGATTAGGAGGGCAATGCTTGTGAGAGCTTACAATCTAAAAGGGAGGGGCAAGTGATACAAGAGGTAAAAGCAGTTAGGGATAGGCTGATGGAGAACGTAGAAGGACGGATTTTAGGTTGAGGCAAGATAGGCTTCTGTGAAGAGGTGAATTTTCAGGGATCGCCTAAAGCGGGGCAGAGTAGGAAATAACTGGACAAGTTGGGATAGGGAGTTCCAGAGGATGGGGGTGACTCTGGAGAGGTCCTGGAGGTGGGCATGAGAGGAAGTGATGAGGAAGCTAGAGGATAGGAGGTCCTGAGAAGAACAAAGTGAAGGGTTTGGGTGATATTTTGAGATTTGGTGATGTAGCTGCTGGTGGTATATTTTGCTACTGGCTTGTCGCAAGGATGGGCAGCCTGACCAGCCAATAGAAATGTGGAGGAGGTATGAAGGCAATCTTCTGCTTTAACAGAAAATGAAAAAATTTGACCTGTCAAGCAAGCCTGTAATTTGGCCGTGGCAGGATGGCTTACTAGGCTCCTGCAGGTATGTATAGGCACCCCTACACCTTCTTCAGTTTCTTTATTTTTGTACTACTCACCGAGCCTATTTTTAGGGCTTGTATAAGTTTAAGTGGGCTGCCCATCATTCTCGACTTCTGTATTTACAAACAGAAACGTCTTATAACCACTGTACACATGTGCGTTTATTTCCTAATGGTGCAATCAATACTCTTACCAGTACTGATACAGATATATTCCTTCTGAAAACAACTGGCAATGTATAGTTGCTTATTATGCACTGGGGCTTCTTCTTTAGCCCTATGAGACATTTCTCTTCTGTTTTAATATTGGTTGCAAGAGATGGGCACACATTCTTCCCAGGCTTTCTTGTGATGAGACAGCTAAAGTTTAAACCAAATGAAGTGTGTGAAGACCTTCCCATATGAATATTCATCCTGATGATGGTTTTATACATATGGCTGTCATCACATTACAAGAATGAATAAATACTTACACAAGTATATTTACTTAGGCATTTGCTTTGATGGTAACTAGGGCTGTGTACAATATCCTTGAACAGTCACATAATATGATGCTAATTACTCAGGTAACTCAGTATATAGTAGGCTGAGATATTTTGTAACTGAGGTCCTTTATTCAATTCTATTTATAGCCTTTCCTGTAGTTATAAGTAGAGTGTATTTTCAGGTACTCAAGATAGGTAGGTTCAAGTAGGATTTTACTGTCGGTATGTTATTTTGATTTTACAGAGATGACAATACAAACAAAAATTACAATGCAATTCAAAACAAGATGGTAAGGAGGGCCCTGCCTATGAAGGCTTACCATCTAAGAGGGAGGAGAAATGCCTTAGATCTTGGGCGCAGGAGTGCCTAGGCACTCTCACTTATTTATTATTTATTTAATTAGAAAGTGTGTTTTTTATAGGAGAGAATTTAGGATAAGAAGTGTTTTGGTTTTTTATCATGGTTCTGCTTAAGCAAAATTAACATTTCTAAATTTTTTTAGTTCAAATCCACCTTAAAAACTAAGTAGTCTTAGATGAAAGTTAATTCACCAAATAAATTTGGACCTTGTGCTTGGCCCCTGAGTGTTTTTATGAATTGACGACAAAGATAAGCATTAATATGTTTATCACTGCTCTCTGCACTAACTGGCAGACTATCCATTTCATGACTTCATCTCCCTTGGTGTTGAATAAGCAAGGATGGGATTTTAGGACTTGGGGAGACAGTGACACCATAAATGGACATTTAAGCTGAATAAGGTCCAGGAAGTTGTGCTGGCAGATTTTTCACATACCTTCTAACTTATGACAGAATGTGATGCTGACGAAGGCCAAGTAAAGTCCGGTGTGAGATAAACATTTGTCTGTTTCCTTTTCCAAACAGAAACAACCAAACATTGAGGGAGAAAACCTGCACAGCTATCAGCATGAGTTCTGGTGAGTACATATGTCACCCTGCATAGTTAGTGTATACTTTTGTCTGCTCTAGATGTCAACTTGCACTGGAGGTTAGGTGTTGCTCCAACCAGGAACAGCTTCCATGGTAATGTTAATCACTGTGATGTATAATGTTTGGAAAAGAGTTGTGGAATCACTTCTATGGAATCCTGGTATCCATAACAGTCTGATAACTAGCCATATGAAAAAGTAATGTATTGCTGCTCGGTAACAATAGGGATAAAAAGGATCATAGAAATAATTTGAGCAAAAATGTAAAGCTGTTTTTAATGTAATACTAATTTAATGTGCATACTTCAGGCATAATGTTACACCTTGCAGAGGATAGCAAATCGTACACCATCACTAAAGTAGGCCAGGATTAAATATACTTATTCTTCAAAGTTTTAATACAGCAGCATGTTTTAGAGGTTCAAGACTGTAATGGCTTAACATCAGGACTTTATCATATAACATGTGTTGTTGTCTACAGCCACAAATCAAATTCAAGCCTGTATATTCCAGATCCATTTTATTTAATGCACCATCATAAATGAGAATGTGTGCAATGTGATATTTTTAGTGTTCCCAGCCTATGGGTCCACCACCTGTACATATTCAGTTGCAGTGAAAGCTGAGACAAGAAGAATACAATTATTCCTTCTCATGGCCAGTAGCCACTTCTAATGCATTGTCATACCACACTTGTTTTTTTTCCTTAGGGTGCCAACCATTGCATGAGGAATATATGAGAAAATGCATTCTTTCTGTAGTTCATAGCTCTCAACTTTCTTTCTTTTGGAACCAAATTCCCAATACTAGTTTCTCCTCAACTGTCCCTCATTTAAAGGAGAACTATGGGGTTAAGGCTTTTCCCATAGTTCTCCTTAGGGGAACGGGAGGGCACAAACTAGCGTCCTCCCGTCACCCTAGGCTCAGTATACCGCGAGCTGTAGCTCGCGGTATACTGAGACGCCGCAGCTGAAGCGGATCCCGACAATTATGTCTGGATCTGCCCAGCTGTGTGACTGACAGCTGGCTCTACCTATCTATCCTACCCGCCCCCTCCCCCGTCCGTTCTGCCAGTCAGCGCTGGCGCAGCGGGGAGGGGGGAATCCAGCCCCTCCTCTGTCACGGCAGAGAGCCGTGACAGGATCGAGAGGTAAGCGAACGCCGGTATGTGTTCGCTCACCTCCCGATCTACTAAGCTGACCTGTGACAGTCTCATTGTCCCAGGTCGGCTAGAACTATGAGGTGAGTGAAAAGCACTCGCCTCATAGTTCTCCTTTAAGTCTGATATATAGACTTGTTTGAAGAGGAACTTCCACATCAAAATAACAACAAAGACACCTTTAGAAATGTTTAGTAATGGCAATCTACAAACAGATACTTACAGATAATTGCCGGCTTTTTATTATATGCATACCTTGTTTTTCTTTTCCTCCCTATTCTTCTCACAGTGGCCATTTTCACTAAGGGCAGATGAATCTATCTTCCTCTTTCTTCCTGGAACTCTGGCACATGTGACTAGGACATGTGACCATACACCATCTCAGGGGAGGAAAATGCCTTTCCCTGAGATCTCATGAGATTACAGATGAGATTTCCCAGCAATGCTCTGCTAACCTTCCCAGGATGCAATGTCTGGGCACATTACATCACTTTTGCCAAAGAGAACCAGGAAGTAAAAAATAAGAAATTGTAAGTAATGCTTGTGTGATTTTTAGCCAAAGAGGGTAAAGGTCCACTTTAACTACTAAATGTGTTTTATATTACATTAAACCGTTTATTTCTAAAATCTAATAAAAGTAAAGTCAGTTTTTTGTTGTTGTGTGTTTTTTATGGTCCTTATAAGCAGATGTGGGGCATAGGTATTCACTTTACTTAAATTGCACTAAAAAGCCAGGTGGCACCTACCTTGGATGCTGCGGTGGAGGGGTAACCCTACCATCTATCTACCCACCTACTTCAGCCCACCCTCCCCTCTCTCAGCTGCCTCTTCAAGCCCGCCCTCCCCATGCCCCTTTCTGGTTTACCCCCACACTTGGTTGGACGGTCCTCATCCGACCCCCTCTCCTTATTCTCGCTATTTTATTTTCCCCTCTCTCTTCCTTTCTTTTATCTCTTTCTCCATATTTCTAAGTTTACTTTTTCCACTCTTGATACTGTGCATTACAAGTGATTCTTGCATTTTGCAGTACTAAACTGCAGACGTTACAAACCCCAGCGTGGCCTACGTGGCTCAGACCTTTATAAATCCGCATTTTTTGAGCTGTTCGAAAGTTGAGAAGGAGATGCATATGCCCCTTTAACTTTAACCGTGAACAACATGACATGCATATACTAAACAGCATTGGCGCATTGCAACATCATAGGACATGTAACGTTCACTTCTCCGTTGTGATAATACATATGTATATGTATATGGATCTAATATATGCATCTCTTTAGGTTTTGTTCTTTGTTCCCTGGATTTGCATCAACTTTGTACTTTGTACACTATGTGTTTTTGTACGTTTTTAATAAAGACATTTTTGAATAAAAAAAAAAAAATTGCACTAAAAAGTTATCCATCTTACCCATCTCAGAAGAATGGGAGGCATGGTATTTTCTTGACATTATGCTCAGGAAGACACATTTTGGAAAATGTAGAGTTGCTGGGAAAGCAGAGCCCATGGGATGCTATGCCTTTAGTTACAAGTAATTTAACTATATTAGACATTGCACTTATCATTTAAAAGTCTATTACATTATGCCATTTGTATGGATGGACTTTTATATTCTAAAGTGGAACTCCAGACAAACCATTTTCTTTTGTTTAAAGTAGAGCATGTTTAAACCCTCGGATTTTTATATGTGTTCTCACTAGGGACATTTACTTTCAAGCCCTGTAGGGTAATTAGTAGGTGATAGTCACCACCGGGACATGAACTGAGGGGTAAATATTTCTAATGGAGACAGTAAAAATCTGCTACAGGTTCTAACCCTTCCCTACCATGTTACAAACTTTAAACTGAATTCCATAGGAGTTAAATTGAGGTAGTAAAAACTGCTGTGGCAAAGCAAGGTAGTGTCTTCGGTTCTTAATAATGGTGACATCTAAGGCTAACCATAGACTAAAGCATGTCAATTACAAAGTCAATCATTGATTTAGATCAATCATCGATTAAACACTAGTGAAGTTTTACTAAAATAATCCTTGCAGCAGAGTCAACAGAGACAAACAATGTGTAAAACTGGAATTGTTGTGGACCACTTTCCACGAAAGAAGAATTTTTATGCTGTCACTATTTGCATACGTGTGGGCCATGTACAAATTCAGCACACGTCTAGCTTGCCTTTTCTAAAGACAAAACTAGGAGGTTATGTTTTAAGAGAGTGAGTTCTTAGAAGCACACCTGCTTTCCTGTAATGATAGGTAAAGCTGGAGAAAGTGATGAGAGCCTAATTTGTTTGCTTCACATGTCCCTTATAATTTTATACTTGAATGTTCCTGAGAAAACAAACAGGCTTTATGCTTGTGTGGTGGCATAATATGCTTATGGCGACTTTATTATTTTATTCCAGACAATGAAGTTAGCATATCAAACAGTGTGGTGAATGGAGTAACACCCAGCTACAACATGCAGGATAAAGGTGAGTCATAATGTAAATTGTACATGTTAAGAAATATAATATATAATAAAAACATAAATAGATTGCATTTGGAGTTTGGAGCATGGCATAATATTGCAATGGTCTTTTTTACATAGAGTAGAGCTGTTAACTATCACATACAGTTCAACTGCTGGTGTGCAACTAGATGCATAACACAGACCTCCAGCATCCAGCATTGTAGCAGTAGTTGTTTGTTTTCTGTATGGGTAATGCACAACTGAGTTTTATGTACACCATCACTATTTGTATATGGCAGCAGTGCCTATGACAAGATCCTCTGGCACCCAAAGTGAAGATGCCAATTGAACCCACCTCCCCTGAGCAGAGACGGAATGTGCTTTCACTTCTTACACTGGCTAGGATAACACAGGGCAAAAAAATGACAGCTGCTATCCACCGGCCCTGGGGTTGCCACCTTCTGGCCGATGGAAAACTGAACAAGATCAGGTGGCGTTTGTGGTGGTTAGACCAAGTTGATTTAGTCTAAATGAGCATTGTACAATACAGCAAGGTTTTCATTAAAATAACCAAAATGTATTCTCCCATCTAAAAACTAGGGTAGAGGACATTTTTAACACTTCAAAGGGAGAGATATCATTCTGTAGTTGATTTTCCCTTAGTATAATAACATTGAAATTATATTTTTAGTGCAAAGCATGAAAATGTTAATGTTATATATTTTTTCAGTCTGGCACCGCAAACACAAACTAACAAAACAAATGAAAATTACAAAAGTTTATATCAGACCATAAACATAAATCTGCAAAAAAAAGTTGAAGGAAGGAGAGGAAGACGTTAATATGAAAAATCTCAGTTGCAGGTTGTGCAGGTTCATTCATATGGAAACAAGATTCATTGCTCCTGATATGGAGAGTGGGACCTGGCTGTCAAATTGACAGCTGAACCCCGCTGTGCAACTCTCCAGATTCAATCTGCCTACCCGGTCCCAACTGCTCCCTCCTCACTGCTGCAACTGAGATGGGTGCCTCTCCTGCTGGTAGATACTTTATTTATAGAAAGGAAATATGCGCACCAAATTCTTCCTATTCTGCTACTTTTTGATTTGAATTATTTGAATATAATGGACAGAAATACTGGAATATTTTACGCTGATCTTTTTGCATAGATTGTAAATCTCATATGTATGCATTTTAGGCAATTATATGTTCATTATACTTTGTGTAGTTTTACTAGTTGACATTGTTATGTGAACGAGCATCTAAATGATGCAACAGTAGGTGAATGTGTGAAGAAAACAAGAAGCTGGAATAAATTTAATATCTTGCCTCAGGTAACCCTTATTCTAATGAAGGGCTTGTACCATAACTGGTAAGAAAATCCAAACAGAACGACCCTCCCGGACCACAATATTTGTTTATTTATTACAGGCATTATATAGCATCAATTTATACAGCACTTTTACGTATTATTCACATCAATCCTTGTCCTCGGGGAGCTTGCAATCCTAAGTCCCTATCTCGAATGCATATATACATAAACATACGAGGGAAATTTAGACAGAAGCCAGAAGGGACGGGAGAACAAGCAAACGCCATGCAGATAGTGTCCTGGCCGGGATTCAATCCCCAGTGCCGCAAAGCAGAAGTGATGACCACTGAGCCACTGTGTATGAACCCACATAACCCTCTTCCTGTATACCTGGGCTTATTTATTTGCCTGTTCTGCCTCCAGCAGTAACACAAAATTAAATTTTTATGGGGGTTGGAGGAGTCTGCAGATATCTGCAATAATTCAATAGAAATGAGTGGCAAGTATACCAGCCAATAGTATGTAAAATGCAGATAAATGTGTTCTTAGTTTACAATTTATGTCAGCAAAGTGTAAGAAGTAAATGTAAAGGGAAGGGGGGAAAAACACTTTGCGGCTTATTTACTATGGCGAGTAGGTATTGCTATCTGCTCTCTTTTTACACTGCAGTGATACTGCATACTGCAGCCTGCCCATTCATAAAATCCAGGCCACAGTATGCTGCCTGCTGTATCCTACGGAGCTTTCGATGCTTTAGATAAACCAAAAAAGATCTGCGCTCCTATCCTCCAAGAATTAATCCCTCCCTTTCTATGCTTTAGACTACAGAGAGAACTCTATGATTGGAGGAGAGACAGTCATGTGACTTTGACAGTGTACATTTATAAAGCTGTATTTCTTTATTTTTAATCTGGCCACACCACTGCTTTTTATATACACCTCCAAGTCTATATGCAGGTTTCAATGCACACCATATTCAGTGCTAGTGTTATACTGGCAGTCTGGCATATCTAGCAAAAGACCTGTAGAAGTAAAAGATGGCGCTACTGATTTTTGAACAAAAAGGGGTAATGTAAGTGCCTGTGTGAGGGTGCATTGGTTGCGCTTTCAAAATTAATGGTTTGCTTAACACATGTGTGGTAGGACACCACAACAGTGCAAAAATGTGTACCTCTAACCCTCTAACATGTTTGTGAATATGTAATACGTGTAGTGCAGTAAGAGGCTATTTTGTATTGGAAAGCGTTTTTTTAATGAGACCCTAAAAACAATGAACAAAAAAAAATAAAAACAAAAAGATTTAAATATTATTGGCTTTAAAAAAAGTGCAGAAAAATTACAGCCAAGGGTGAAAGAGTTAATTAGGACTGATTAGGGTTAATTAAGGGTTAGAAAAGGCACAAATGTTATTTTTAAAAATAAAGAACTTTTACTTGTAAGGTTGCTTTAACTGACATCATATGCCGATGTAACTCCTTTGATCTTCTTATGAATAAAACAGGGTAAATAAAAAGTAATAATGTTACAGTTTGTAAACACTGCTCAGATGCAATTCAGAAGAAATACAAAGTAACATTCCTTGTTTACATTTCTTCTCAATCCTTGTTTGATAGCTGCTCCTGCTGCTACAAGTCCTGGCTTAGATCTGGGGGACAGCGACAGCCTCTGATTGTACGAAGGGTGGATTGAGATGTTGCTGCTTCTTGTCCAATCAGAGAATGCCTTGTACTCATTGATAAAAAAAATATTAGGTGTTCTCTGATTGGTCGCAGTGCTGACTGAGCGACCCCCTGTGTTTTCAGAGCAGGGGGGGAAGCTAATACAGGACTCGGAAGATCATGGCCAGCACTGAAGCAGTTCCAGCTACTACAGGTTTTTGCAGGATCCCCAATAGCAGATCAGGTATGGCATATGCATACTTACACTGGCCCATGCTGGACAAATATAAGTACAATATACATATTACTGCATACCTGGAGTTCAGCTTTAAATTGCAGTGTTTTTTAAATGCATTACCATTCATCCCCATGGAACTTGCTTTTTGCCCAACACCAATATAGCCTACTACAGAGCAGCCCCTGATATTTCATCCAGTCTTGTATGTCAGTGAATGCCAATGTTTTGTGGCCGAGATCCAAAGTATAGTCTCATAATACAAGTGATGAAAGCAGAGAACTTTTTATACAGAACTTTGCTATGCTGTGGCAGCGTGGCTTGTATGTTTATAAAAAAATATCTCAAAGCAGAGGAAATTGTACAGGATTAGCTAGTAGTTTTTTTTTCTATAACTGGATATCTTAGAAGAGGAATGTAGTTTTAAAATATAATTTTATATGCATCTAAATAGTTTTGATACAGACAGATTCCTTTGAAATGTTGACTATAAAATGCTAATGCTTTGACTTTTCTCTACTGCAAGACCCATCATTGCCTCCATGCCTACTTTGGATTTGTATGCCTCTAAATGATTATATAACCCCCCAAAAAAACATTTTATGTAGGTAAGCAAATACTGTTTTTATAGTCTCTTAATCGGCTAACCGATTATGAAAATAATCGTTAGCTGCAGCCCTACTCACCTGACAGTCCGGCACGTGTGTTAGCAAATTAGTGTAGGCACTCCTCCTTAGAAGGGTACAGCTGAAAAAAGGCTGGTAATACACTATTCAATCCGATTGTAAAATCTCTTTAGGTCTACCATCAACTATGTAATGCAAGGGTCTATCTGACTTGATGCAAATTATGGATTGTTTAGTTATGTCCTCATATTACATAGCTTAGGTAAATTGAAAGGATTGTGCAGAGATTATTCAATCGGGTTGTATTGTGTATGGCCAGCTTAGGTCGGAAGCAAGAAGGTAAGGCATAAAACTTTTGTAAGTCTTCTCCTACTGTCCTGATTTGGAGATTTGCCCTGACCTGCTTTCCCTGTGACATTAGAACAAGAAATGGGAACATGAGCACTATGACAGGAAGGGCACAGATAGCACAGGGTACAGAGGTAACCTTTCTCACTCTACTAAAATAGTGTTTATTGTTGCTGTCTCTGTTCCCATTGAACAGAAAGAGGAAAGAAATCGCTCTAAAAGGGACAGAGGCAATAATAAAAAGCTGCAGAGGTTGTTATCCGAGCCCACTTTAATAAACATTTCCCCACACTTCCTGTCACAGAAACCACTGGCATTGGAAGTGAGTGAAAAAATTCCAATAGGGTCACACGGCAACAACACCATGATAAAGGTTCTAACCTTCTCCCTTATATCTAAAAATAGAAAAACAAAAGTTCTTTCTGGAGTTTGATTTGAATTACTTTACATTTTGTTGTATTCCTATGCTGGGATACAAGACAGCATGATGTGGAAGAGGGTTGGACACAACATTTCCCATTGATTAGGTACCTATCTGACATTCCCTGGAAGGTAGGTAGGTAGATGTGCTAAACAGGGATAATTAAAACCCCAAAAATCTATAACTCTTAATGGCAGTAATTTGTAGAATCCTATGAACTCATGAACAATGCCGATTTTGTCTTTTTGGCTGGAAGGGCTGCTATTATGCAGATAAGCTGATCTTCAGCCAGACAATGAAAACTTGTTTGTGCCTGTTCCCACCCCTGCCAATGAGAAGGATGATTGGCTTCCACATACATCTTCTGATTTCTCCCACATTGTTGTTTTTAGACAATTACATTGTGATCATATGGTCGATTG